CATTTTTATGTTTACATAACTCCTGAGAACCAGAAATAAAAGGCTTTGTGAATTTAGTATTTTTTTTCATGTCATTACATTGTTTAGAGCGTAATAAAAAAAATGGTAAAATAACATTTTTGAAAAATTATATTTTATTTATAAGTTATGCTATGTCCTCTGTAGAGGACACCAGGACTCAGTTTTTCTAAAAAATAAAATGACAAGAGTAGACATGAAAAGGCAAAAACAATGGGATTTTTAAAAAAAATTTTTTTATCGGCAATCAATTTTTAGTTGGATTTTTAGTTAAACTAACTTTAAGGATGGTCCTCAACTATGTTATAAAATATCTAACAAAATGATTTGATATACCATTTTGCTTTATGCAATATGTGTGTAAAAATTCCATAAACTGGTTTTCCCATTAAGCACAATGTTATCTATACACTGTATCTAATTTGCATATTAAAGTGCTGTTGGGACAGCATGTTGAAAAAAGAAGTGTAATGATGGGAGCAGTAACTGGCCAGATTTTCATAATAATATCTAATATTTCATAAGAATATTGATATGGAATTTGTTTTCCTATTCAATTCTTTTGTCTCCCAAAATGTCTACCTGACATTGTACCCTGAACTGAATTAACACTCCAACATCTAATACAAAACTCATCAGAAATCACAATTCATCAGTGTAACATTATAAATCAAGGCCTCCAAATCTTCTATTCACTGACAGCAGTGAAGGCCTGGTGCATGTTGGTTCATCGAAAGCTTCGTCGGGCTATAAGGCGATATAGAGGAAAAACATCGACAATCTGTCATGTAACACAGTCGATAATAAACACTCCGTCATACCATATAAAGCAGGACGCGCGTGTGAAAAGCGGATGAGCTCCCCTTCAGAATATCACTGTAGTGTTACAGAATGCTCCGTGTCGAGAGCACGGATGAAGAGTACATGCACGCGTTATCTGTAAAGATCACAATGAAAATAAAGCAGAGATGCACGCTCAACGCGACACAGGTGCATGTCCGTCCATCAGAGCCGTGTGCTGTAAGCGCTGTACACTCAGCAGCTGCTTCACGCCGTCAGAGACGCAGGTGTGCGGGCGTCACTTCACGCACGACGCGTTTTACGTCTACAATAGCAAGCACAAGGGTCTTGAGGGGTTTTCATTTAACTAGGTAGTATTTTTATCTTCCGTCCCTCTTCAAAACGCGACGCTACTGCCAAAGACGCCCGTCTGATGCTTTGGTTTACACCAGCACAATAGCAATAATGTTTTAAATCCAGCGTTTTCGTGGTACTTGCAGGATAAATGCGCTGGCCAGTGCTTTTGTCACGTATTAGGCTTCTCCAGGTGAATTTCTGCATTCATTCCTTGAAGAATGAATCAAACACTGCGCATGCGCGCTCGGAGAGAGCAATATGGACCATGTCGCTATAATTATGTTTACAGTGTAGCTAACCCTTATTTTTAAGTAGCAGCACAAACCAAAAACAGTAGCCTACTGATCGTGTCAGGTTTTGCATTCATTCTGTAAGAAACATGTTGTCAGGTGTATTTTTTTATTACCATATTTATTCATTTTTATGTTTACATAACTCCTGAGAACCAGAAATAAAAGGCTTTGTGAATTTAGTATTTTTTTTCATGTCATTACATTGTTTAGAGCGTAATAAAAAAAATGGTAAAATAACATTTTTGAAAAATTATATTTTATTTATAAGTTATGCTATGTCCTCTGTAGAGGACACCAGGACTCAGTTTTTCTAAAAAATAAAATGACAAGAGTAGACATGAAAAGGCAAAAACAATGGGATTTTTAAAAAAAATTTTTTTATCGGCAATCAATTTTTAGTTGGATTTTTAGTTAAACTAACTTTAAGGATGGTCCTCAACTATGTTATAAAATATATAACAAAATGATTTGATATACCATTTTGCTTTATGCAATATGTGTGTAAAAATTCCATAAACTGGTTTTCCCATTAAGCACAATGTTATCTATACACTGTATCTAATTTGCATATTAAAGTGCTGTTGGGACAGCATGTTGAAAAAAGAAGTGTAATAATGGGAGTAGTCATTGGCCAGATTTTCATAATAATATCTAATATTTCATAAGAATATTGATGTATAATTTGTTTTCCTATTCAATTCTTTTGTCTCCCAAAATGTATAATAAACATGCTTTTAGTCCTGGTGTCCTCTACAGTGGACATGTATGAAATCATGCCCTGTTTCATAACAGGAAGTCATATTTTGATTTGAAACCCCATAACATTTTCCTGAGATGTTGATTTATGACAAACGATTAGAAAATTAATCCGATTTAAATTGTAATTACAAAATATTATCATATTTCCATAAGGATGTACAATTTTATCACTAAATTAATGTCAGCCATTTTTAAAGACCAAGAAGAGGGAGTGGTCTCGGTGAAACATCCAGTCATTTGGTATCTCTGGAAAGCCCTGAATGTGCTCCGTACAGGACTCCAGACTTACAACTGTGACATGTGAGGTCTCGGAGAAATTCACTAAAATATAATGTCCACTACAGAGGCAAAAACTCCATTGCTGGGTCTCAGGAGGACATGCTAGGCCTGTTCTATGTTTTACAGTCATATTTACATCTAACATTCATTGTAGGCATTATTTCAAGTCATGTGTATGAAGACAGAAGCACGCAGGTAAATAATGAGCCCAGATTGCAGTTGCATCCTGAGTGTTTATTGTTATTGTCTGGTACCTGCATTTCTGCATGGATGCTGGAAACCCATCATAGTATTTTGCATAGGTCTCTGATGCCCATGTCATATGGACGAAACAGTCGGCACATCATGAAAACCATGCAGAATAGTGAAAGGCACAATCACCATAGATATCATGTACACCAATCATTTTTAATACTCTATTTGTACTTCGTTACTAAGGTGAACATCTCTTCTAATAACAATGAGGAAAAAATACAAGCATATTTATTTTTGTAGTCTTTTCTCATTTCAGGTTTTCAGTCAACCCTTCCTTAAATCACAAATAACTATCGCTTCCACTACGGATATCATTCTAGTCCCACAAATTAAATGAATCATATTGAACACACACATACACACACACACACACACACAGAAAAACACAATTGCCCAGTTGTTGCGCTGAACAGCAGCGGTGGATCTGTTCAGAGGGCAGAGATCACTGAATGTACGTTCATTATACGATATGGCCGTGTCCACTTCATCTAACATCTAGAAACCATGCAAATAGAAGACGACCTTCAAGTGGATGATGTTAAGGACCCTTGTAAGGCTACAGGGCTTTGGATGTTCCCAGATACACCACTGACATTCGTACTGCACTCTCTGTGGAGTCCATATAATGTAGAAACAGTCAGTTTCAAATGAAAACAAAGAAATAAAAGCATATTTAGGTTTACATTAGTTACATTATTTAGTTAACAGATAGCTTTAGATAGCCTACTACAATAATAGTTTTACAGATTTTTGGCAGGTGATAGGAAAGACTACAAGAAGAACTCTTAAAATGATCCAACACTAAACTGACAGAAGAAATAAAAGAAAATTTCATGTAAAAGCAAATCCTCTTAATGTAAAACAGCTCAATGGTGGTACTGACAACATGGCAAACGTTGGTTCCTATCATAAAATACCCAGGAAGAATGTGTACTCAAGTTTTTGGAGCAACATATGGTTAAATGATTCCATGAAAACAGGAAGGTGATGTTTCAAAATGAAAATAACGCAAACACTGAACTGTAACTAGTTTGCAATTACATACATTTGAATGCAACTAATTGTTTACCTCTTAAGGTAGCTTTTTTCCCCCAACTCATGCATGTTGGCATCTCATTCACCATTGCAAACGAAAACCGCATACTGCTAAATACCATGATTCTCCATACAACGTAAGACAGTGCAAACTTCTCAAAGTCTCAAAAAATTTACAAACAGTCATATAATTATATACTTTAAGCACCATTGTTAGTCTATTCATTACTGAATACACATATAAGATAGATCACAACGTGGTGGACGCATTTCCTGTAAATGTGTCAAGAGTATTTGCTGACTATCAAGGAAGAGCCCATTTTAGGATTCAACGTATGCGTTGGTGTGAGTGCATGTGTGCTGGGTCTGTCAAAAGAGAGAGACGCTGACACAGCAACCTCTGACAGACATCAGAATACAACGAAGATGTAAAGCACAATCGTATAATCAATATTTAAGAGGTATGATGAAATGCAAATAATGACATTGTCTGAAAAACGGATGTTTTGAGAAACGGAGAAATGGTCATGGGAAACGATTTCGTTCTTTGTCTCTGTGGTCACAGTGATTTCACACAAAAGCATTAAGTGCTGGACGGGAACTTTCGAGCTACACTGAAAGCTTTGCAATGGACAAGCATATGATTTTATTTTATTTTTTGTGGAGCATCAGGTCAATCTCACAAAAACTTGACAAATTGCATCCCAAAATCAAAAGTAACTATATATTGCAGATTATGCAGCCATCTTGACAATTTTTTGTGAATTCACCAAACAGTAATCCTCCATGAAGCAAATAAAGAGTCACAATCGATACCATCCTGCACATTCTATAAGCAATTATATCCATAGTCTACGGCAACCTCTCCTCAGCTCTATAAGTTGATCTGTAAATACTTTGCACATTGCCCCGATACTCCTGCGATCGCTTCCTATAGTCCAGATGTTGACAGGGGGCTATCATTTCAGCTTTAGCTTCATGTCACATTTTAGGGAAATGCTAAAGAGCTATATCCCTAAAAGATCATTGAAAAATAATAATGAATCTTCTTAGTTATATGTTGTTGTTGTTATACGAGTACTATCCATGATGGACCCTCTGTCAGTTTACCTGAAATCTAGTGAGCTAGATACCTTAAGAAGCTGCCTCAAGAGACATGAATTAAAACCGATTTCAATAGAGTTTGATGGTAACATGTTGCTAAGCTGTTTTCTATACTTTTTGGTACTGAATGAATTACAAAATACACAAGTTTTGATGCTTACAGTTGATTCCAGTAGAATTTGACGTTAGCATGTTGCTAAGCTAACGCAAGGCAATGCTCTAATAAGCACAAATTCATAACACACCTAAGTATTGGGTGTAAATATATATTTATAAATGCACTGGGGTATTTTTCCCATTCAGACTATGTATAGAATTGAGTGCCCACTTTCTCCACCATCTTGAATTGATTTCTTCAGTGAAACTGCCTTTTCTTGGAAGGATACTGCCTTTGCGGAAGCACACCAATAAATGGTGTTTCCTAAATGCTGTTTAGATAGGCAACTCATTAGGTTTAGGAAGAGAGGTCATACAAAAGCAAGCAATTAAATTGTTTGGGAGTCTAATTACTTTTGAACGTTAGCACTGCTATGCTGAAAATCAGGCAGCAACATCTACTTTGAAATGACCTCTTTACAAACATATCTGGCTAGATTTGTCTTAATCTGCAAACTCTCAACTGCATGTATCTGTTTACTATTCTTGCTCACTCACACTATCTACATACTTTTCATTCTTGTTGTCTTTAAGTGACCTTTTTTATTGCTGTGGTAGCTTTTTGTTCTCTCAGTGTGATGTGATCTTAGGATCATATTTCCATGAAGCATTCAGTGGTTGGCTCCTTCTTTTGACAATTTAACCTGATTATGTTTCAACGAACAGTGTCAATGTACCTGAAGTGTCATCGTTATACATTTAGAGGGATGTATGTAAAGATACAGAGTTTACATGTCTCCTTTTCAGCTATACTCCCAGATACTGATTTAGGTGTTATTGGAGGTACATGGCCATTTAAGCAAATATATGAATCGTCTTAGAGTAATTGTGCTTGGTAGTGGGTTTCCAAATAAGAGTGAAAAGAGGATAAACTGGCTTGTACTCAAAGACAAACCTGATTAATATGAAACTGAATAACATTATGTACATAAAACCAATAAAAGCAAAAGGAGAACTTGAGAAGGTAGGGGATTCATTGGGAGGTGTGGGTTTTCTTGGGGTGGGTTATAATGCCCTCAATGTAAACTTTAATGCATCAGTGGCAGATGTTGCGCTGGCACGGTTGGTGCAGGAAGGAGTTGCGGGTGTGGGACGCGCGCCGTTGCACCTGTTCACGCACACGGTTTTGGCGCTGCATGCGGTTGCGTGCCAGGTGGCGACGCTCAGTGCGGGCTTTGGCCCTCTGGACCCTGGAGACCTGGGTGACTTTAGCCAGGGCGCCTGCTTGTGCGGCTGCTCCTCGGGTCACCCGTGTGGGCATGCTGTTCCTGGTCATTAAGGGCGCTGCTGATTCAGACGTCCTGCTGGAACAGTGCAGATAGAATGAGGAATGGGAAGCATTGAAGTGAGAAGCAAATGGACAGAATGGAGTGAAAATGAAATGAGAAGATAAGAAGATGGAAGACAAAATTAGGACATTGTCCAAGTTTTTCATATTCAGCATGATTTTTATTTGGTGTAAGTCAGGGGTGTCCTGCACCTGGAGAGCCAAAGTCCTGCAGTGTTTATCTCTAGTTTGCTACAACACACCTTGATTAGCTGGTTCAGGTGTGTTTAACTGGGGAAGGAGATCAACTCTGCAAGAGGCCCGTGAGGACCAGGACTGGACACTCCTGGTGTAAGTGCTGACATATCCTACAACAGGGGTGTCCAAACCTGTTCCTGGAAAGCCAATGTCCTGCAGAGTTTAGCTCCAACTTGCCTGAACACACTTGCCTAGATGTAAGGTTGCACGATAAATCGAAACGAAATGCGATTGTTATGTGTATCTTTCAGTGAAGCACGGTTCTGTGATCAGCAGTAAATCTCCATCCGAAGGCCAGAGGGCGCTCTCGCGAGGAAACACCAAATACGCCCCGCAGAAGAAACCCAGGAAATCCCTATAGCGGTTGCTGAATAAACAGAAGATTTAAATGCTTTCTTTGATTCAACATGACTAATAAACACATGGCTATGGCAATATATGGCTTATCTGAGTTCTTATTATTATAATTTTTATTATAATAAAGTACATAATGCAATGCTAATCGACATAGCCTTTATCACTGCTTAGAATACTATGAAATATGTTGCGTGCCTTATTCTGTGTAAGAAGCCACATCATCTCAGAGAAGGATATTTCAAACACTCGACTGACGTTATGAAGTGAGTTTGGAGTAAAAATGTTATTAAATGTGGTATTTTCATGTGCTTTCAGAGGGAGCAGCATTTACTACACCGAGCCGTAGTTTACTGAGAAGCTACGCAAACAGCTGTCATTATCGTGAACGATTTCTTCGATTTCATAATCGGTCGATTATATCGTCTGCGTTTTGCGTTGCTTGCTGCTCCATCTGAAAGCAGGTTATGGAGATTTACTACTAATCACAGAGCCTGCTTTACTGACAATCGCATTCGATTAATCATGCAGCCCTACCTGGATATTTCTAGTTTGCCTAGTAAGACCTTGATTAGCTGGTTCAGGTGTGTTTAATTAGGGTTGGAGATAAACTCTGCAGGACATTGGCCCTCCAGGAGGAGCAGGATTGGTCACTCCTGGTGTAAGTGCTGACATATCCTACAACAGGAGTGTCCAAACCAGTTCCTGGAAGGCCAATGTCCTGCAGAATTTTAATTAGGGTTGAAACTCTGCAGGAAAGTGGCCCTCCAGGAACTGATTTGAACACCCCTGTCTTACAATATTTATTACATACAAATGTTGAATGCATTGGTTTATAGATGAACAACAGTGGTCATTAACAGCCAATTTAAGTGGTCAATTTTTTCAGTTAGGAATGTCTGATCTTCATGATATAGAGAACATTATTGCAGGGTACACATAAGAGGCAATGTACCAAATTTAGTAAAAAAATCATCCACCAGGTGGTACTATGTTAATTTCTTATAGGCTACGTCCGAAAGCTTAGGCAGCTGACTTGCTGCCCTATCAGGCAATGAATATGCAGACAGAAAGTACCTCCCATAACTGATTTTGAACAGGCTTCTGAGCTTAATAGTTTAATGATCTACAACATACAGATAGAAAGAACTCTGGTGATAACCAAGTGGATATTTAATTATGGTAGTACAAATTGCTTGCTAGAAATGACATGAAAAGTTGGTCAAAAACATACATTTAAACACAAACTGACCACCAACTACATGTTTCAGGCACCATATTTATTTTTAGCTCAACTGTCACGGAATTGAATGCATAGCAAATTTAAATTGAAAATACGCCTAATGTAAACACGGCAATTTCACTAAAACTCCCATATATCGCAAAAACGTTTTTACGCTCGCATGAGGTGGTTTTTCAGGCAATTCGAAAATTTTTTTTCGCAAAATTGCAATGGAAATGTTTTTTTCACATTTACAGGTCACCTGGCGTACATAAGTCAAATGATCATTCTTTAATGTACTATGACCTCAAAGACACACCTCATACGTGGCCGCTCTCAAGTATAAGGGGCTTTTCTTGTCATTAATGCTTGGATAACCCCTTATTTACACTACATTATGGCTCCGACACGGCCACCGGAGCTGATCGCGGCCACTCTAGTCAATGATTGTGTTCATACCAGCTGCGCCAAGGCATGTTTCAGAAGCATCCCAAAAGCAAATCTCTGCGCACCTTCTCTAAAAATACACGCCTACATCTCCTTCGATTAAAAATAATGGCTAGTGCGGTGGCTGTAATATACGTAAACCTACCAGCACCTGTCACCATGACTTATCGCGAGAGGAAAAAAAATCATTTTCGTCGCATAACATGGAAACGGTGGAAACGCTGTCATTTTGCAGTGTTTTTTTTATCGACATTTATAAAATATCTATCTGTAATGGAAACGCACCTATAGAACCCCTGAACTAGGCCCAACAAAATGTCAACACCAGCAAGCAATAAATCAAGATGTGTTAATCCAGGGGTGTCCAAATGTGGTCCTGGAGGGCAACTGTCCTTCAGAGTTGACCTTCTGCTTGCCTCAACACGCCTGCCTGCAAGTTTCCAGTTTGCCCAGTAAGACCTTGATTAGCTGGTTCAGGTGCGTTTAATTGGGATTGGAGCTAAACTCCAGGAAAAGGACTGGACACCCCTGTATTAGTCATTCCATGTTTTTGTCCTAACCAACTGTGATGACAAGACATTTTGTCAGTCACCAGTGGCCTGTAGCATGAAGCGAGATGAGCAAACTCTTAAGTTGCAGAGTAAGATTTGAGTTGACAAAAAGCCAACCTGGTTTAGACCAGGTTCACAGAGTTTGCTCAAACTAAATGTGAACTTACCTGAGTAAAGCAACAAATACAAACCAAGTGAAATCTCACTGCAGAAAAGAACGCAAACAGCGGAAGTGAAATTTACCTGACACTGCCATTCAGGCTGGTGGTGCTCTCTTCCACCGCAGGGAGAGGGCCAGCGGAGACGTACACGGACATGCTGGGGTGCTCGATGAGGAGGTCCTCCATGGGGCTGGCCTCTGCCGTGGCTCCCTCTGCAGTAAAACAGGGGGGAGGGGTGACAAACCAGCTCTCATCCATGCTGCAGGAACACGATCCCCGCTCGCTTAACAACACATTCACTTCTACTGACTCGAGGTGAGAGAAGGAGGCGGGATCAGGAGGAGAGCAGATGGAAGGGAAGGAAGGATGTGCCGCCTGTATCCTGCCTGCTCTAGTCCTGCGGTTTCTGCAGATGCTAATTTTGTTGATGTTGCTATTTGTGCGATGTGCACCATTTACATTCTTTGAGTTATTATATGCTGTATGGCACATTTTGAACTCAACGACACACAAAATTGAGCTGTGCAGCTACATGTATTTATATTTGCATGCAAAGAGTATGTTTTGGGCCTTACAGTATCACATCTTTTAGCAAAAAGCTATTTTTAGCATTTGGGATAAAAGCGTCTGCTAAATGACTGAAAGTAAAGTAAAGTATAGAATAATGCTGAAAAAGAACAAGGCTATTAGATGCTTACACTGTCAATACAATTATTTTTATCTGGCAAAGTGGAACGTTATTTAAACTGTAGTCAGAGATGTGTAACCATAAAAGATTCTGACATAAAGGCCAAGCAAGCTGGTATGAAATGAGTTCACAGGCTTGCGTCATTCGTTTGATTATGTGTGGCCCTGGACCATAAGTGTAGATGTATCATACACTGAATAAATGAGCTTTGCATTGATGTAGGGTTTGTTAGGATAGGACAGTATTTGGCTTGGATACAACTATTTGAAAATCTGAGGGTGCAAAACAATCTAAATATTGAGAAAATCATCTTTAAAGTTGTCCAAATTAAGTTCTTAGCAATGCACATTACTGTTTAGATATATTTACGGTAGGAAATTGACTAAATATCTTCATGGAACATGATCTTTACTTAATATCCTAATGATTTTTGGCATAGAAGAAAAATCTATAATTTTGACCCATACAATGTATTGTTGGCTATTGCTACAAATATCCCCCAGCGACTAAACACTGCTTTTGTGCTGCAGGGTCACATATTGTCATTGCCTTTGGCTTGTCTGAGGTTCCTGTCTGAAATAGTATGTCACTGGTGTGGCTTGGGCCGGTAAGGTGCATTTCTGGTAATGCAGGTAATATGATCAGTGTTATGTGAGCTCTGTCTCTTTAAACAGTGTTTGTAAATATTGCCTGTCCCTCCCTCTCCACATTCCTCACTATGACGTGTCACGAGCAACCAATCACAACTCCTGGTCTGAAAACTGACATGTCAGCAACCAATGGAAAACAACTGGTATTAGGAAAGCCCTTGATGTTTGCCTGGAGTTTAAGCTTCAGGATCTTTAGATAGTAACTTATAGTATTTTTATTTGCATATTTGTTCTAACACTAGCAGACATAATTGTATGGTGATTACACATTACTAGACAATATTAGCAATAGCAACATTTTAATTGCATGTATTTTAGGATTATGAGAGAGAGAGATTTATAGATCAGGATATTATAAAGGCTTTTTAAGTGGCCTCTTTTGATTTGGGTCATCTAGCAGCCAAAAATCCTAGTAATCACTTAATGCGCTTGTACCTAATAAAACATTTTAGCAACAGACTAATTATGATCATAAATATAATTTCGCAGTGAACACTTTTCAGGCTGTGATGGCACGTTTCCACACTTATTAACATCAGAAATCTAGCAGTGTATATACTATGCAGTATGTCAAAACAATGACACCTTTCCCATAATTCCTCCCTTTCTCTGAGTCACCTGGTGATTGGTCTTCTACACCCTGGATGTGGTTGTCATTATTGAAATAACAACAATAAACTTGGACATGATCCTACATAAAACTGCTAGAACAATAATTAAAATGAAAACTGAATACGCAGAGACAAAAGCCTCCAGCCTGTGCTTTTATCTCACACCTGCCCTACAGAATCAAACAGGCACGGCACAACATGCCCCATTTGGTACGTGATATTACATATTGCGCAAGCAAAGTGTTCTGTCATTAACCGGGATATTTCACAAGCAAAAATGTTTACACACACACACACACAGAGAGAAGGACTCTCCATAAACACATTGATTTTTATATGATTTGACCTTTATATTTTATCTCCTAACTCTAACTCTAACTCTATCCAAATCCTCACAGGAAAACAAAAGTTCACTTAGTATCGATACTCTTTTCCTCACAGGGACTGAAATTTTGTCCTCAGTGTCAAACATTTCAAGTTTTACTATCCTTGTGGGGACATTTGGGAAAACATGAACCACACATATGCAGGTGAATAAATCTGATGTGTTATGTAATACATTTCTTTGTCCTGGCCCAGAATGATAATGTGCACAACAAAACATAGACAATTACGGATTAATTGTAGAAATGCAATTCAAGTTTGAATTTAGGGAGACAGAACTACAATCACATAACTACTGTATTTAATTTTAAAGAATATTGCTCTACATATATCTGTCACATGTTTGTTTCTGTTCTCCCGATTACGTTGCATGTGTTTATAAGTCCTGTGTTTTCCTCTGTTCCCTTGTCTTGCGTTAAAGTTACATCGTGGTTGTTGTCTCCCTCTGTTTCCAAGTGTTTTGTTCTTGTTTTGATAATTAAAGACTCTATC